GAAAAAGGGTTGGGCAAAACTGTGAAGCTAACATTTTGAGACTTATTTGTATTATGTAAAGTTTTGTGTATAAAGAAAATTAAATATGGGCCCATACTTTTATTCTCGTTTATATACTTTTCTTATATGTGTTTAATGAGTTTTTACTGTTATTTTACGAGTATACTGGCTAGAAAGAGAGTCATTACAATAACTTTTAAATTTAAATAGTTGATCTTGATAATATTAAGGTGATATTAAATACCATATACAATTCACTACAAAATACTAACATCGAATATCAAAGACATGTCTGCAAAAATAATATCAATTGTACAAAGTGATGATCCTGAAAATATAATTAAACCATATAATATTCAGGTAGTCTTCTCAAGTTGGATGAATGTTTAATAACATTTGTCTATAATTGATATTAATAATTATACAGATAAAATTATTAATTTTATCTTAACACAACTCTGTTCAATTATAAAGTTTTGAAATATGGAATACAGCCTAACCGTTTCTTTTTCCCATGTGTTCACAACTGGGGCCCAATTCCTTGTTTTGTCTTATTAAAATAAGTAAAACAATTACTTATACGTGAGGATTTGATTCTGATAGTGTTTTATCATCAAAAAGATATGATCATCAGTGAGATAGATAATCTTGAAGATTAATCAACATAAATTATTATTGTGTTTGGTTCGTGTGGACTGTATAAATAATTAACGTGTTTGGTTGACAATAATTACAAAATAGTTAGATATTATTTTACTAAAATGCCCTTTACAAGATTAGTGGGTTAATAATAGACTTGGCAAAACGAGTCTGTACCCATGAGTGGACCCGTACCTGTCCAAAAAATATAGGGTACAAGTCCACCCTTACAGACTCGTACTCGACCCTGCCCCTTTTTTTATGTGTGGGCCAGGTAAACCTGCGGGTACCTACATTATTTTAAAAAAAAAAAAAAATTCCTAATCTATTTAGACTATTCCACACACATGACTCGTCACTCTCACTCTCACTAATAAGGATGGGCACGAGGCTGGGGATCCTATTCCTCGGGCCTGGCTCGCCCTGGCCTTGGGGTTAGAGATGAAAGGGGATCCCAGGCCCGACCCGTAGGGATTGGGTTGACCAGTGATCACGCCCCGATTAATGGGGTCTTTGTAGGATCAACAATTATGATGGACTTTATGATTCTTGACTATGGATTGGGTTAGGGCTTTGATGGGCTTTAGGATTCTTGACTCTGGGCTGGGTTAGGATTTTCATGGGCTTTAGAACCTTAGGCTTTTTATTTTTTATTTTTTTAAAGTACATTAACATTTGTATCTAACTTTTAGAAGTATGTCTGTTTTTTAATAGATTAAGATGTTTCAGGTTTATTCATTTTCAAATAAGTAAAAAGCTAAAATATGTAGCTTTTATTTGAATACAAAAACATCTATTATTACCTATTTGTATATGATTTCACTCAATATTACCACAATTATAATCACATTTGATCAATTAATAGTGTGAAAATAATAATTATTAAAATGGTAATTTCTTGACAAATGTAATTTTTTTTAGAAAAGAAAATGAATAGGAGAATTTCAAGCAAAATTACTAGACAAATTAATTACAAATTGTTATTTAAATGAAATGTCACAAATTAATTATAATATGTAGTAAGACTTGCTAGATATAATTGTTAGTGTATGCCCTAAGAACCAATCGTGTCATCGGTTCCGAGGCATTATGTTTTGTATATATATGTGAATGTATATAGTTTGTATATACATTTTATCTTATCAATAAAAGAAAGTGTTCTTATTTCACATGTGGTTTATTGCTTCATTTATATATATGTATTACATGTGAAATGTCCGGATGATACAAATCTTTAGAAGATCAAAATCATCAAAGTATTCCCTACATAGGTAATATTAATTGGGCAATAATATTACATAGTAGGCATGCTGAATGCCTCCGTAGAATATCATGTGATGGTATTGGTGTGGGTGATTATAAAAGTTATATCACTAGGGCATTAGCATGGATACGCGGTTAGTGAACTGTTTATCGAATATGGCCATTTATGATGAATCACATGGACATTTAAAATGTAGTCAATGATTTATCATAAGATCGTACTAGGGTATTATTAATCCTTAGACCTGAGATATCACGGTTGGATTCTGCATAAACGCATATGGTTCATATGGTGTATAAACATGAGGCTAATCATGCCATGTGTTAATAAGCCGATTTGGCCATGTGTTGTTTATGTGTGAGGACAAGTGATAGTCAAGATGGGATCCGTTGACTTGGTATAGATTGATATCAAGTTCCTAGACAAATGTCAAGATACATTGGAAAAGGGAAATCTCCGGCCGGGGTATATAAAATGTTACATGAAAGGTTGTTTCATGGTGACACGTTCCATATGTATTGAATTAAAATTAAGATAAGGATTTTGACATACCATGAATCCATTCTTAATTGGGATTAGACAACGGAAGGATTTGATTATACAACATGTATGATTGTAAAAGGTTCGTTGGAGTATATCTTCATTGTGACTTAGGGGTTATGGAGCATTGCTAGATGCCTACCATAATCAGTGGGAGTTTTGTTCATAAAGAGTTATGACAAAACATATCGAAATAGACTGTGATATTGGGCCCACGGCTAGGCCACAGTGAACCTAAGAGGTCACACATAAAAACTAAGGAGAATGAAGAAATAGCCAAAGAGAGTTGATTATCCAAGGTTGGCTAGCACCTACCAAAGGTAATAAAGTTATTTATATTAATCATTTTCTTTATATTAAATTGGATTTTACAAGGGGTTGTAATTGTAAACAATTTAAGGGTTAAATTGTTATGTAAACAATTTAAGAGTTAAATTGTTAATTGTGATTAAATGTTAATCCAATGTTATCATTTAAAGAAGTTTAACAACTTCATAACAATTATGGAATTGTTTAAGGAAGTCCAAAACAATTATTGAATTGTTTACAAGGATTCCTATATAAAGAAAATGATATATGAATTTTTGTGTAGAGAAAAATCTCTAAGAACCCTAAATCTCCCTCTTGGTCAAATCTCTTCTTCCCTTGGTGTGGATACTCTTTTGCTTAATTTCTCTTGAAATTAAGAGTCTCCAAGGTTGCTAAGGACTTAAGGTAACATGTTCTACCTTACTTATTTCAATTTGATTGAAATTTTTTTTTAAACTATGACTATACTTGTTATAGTATGATATGCTTGATTCTCCATGCATCTATCTTTCAATAATATCCATGGTATAATATGAAGTAAGACTTATTAGATATAATATTAGTAATTTGTTAGATATGTAGTAAACTTAGATATTAAAATTTAGAAAATATGATTGTCTAAAATTAGATATTAGATTTATGTGATACAATTTATTGTTTCTCTCCATCTTTATAATACTCTAAGGGGGCGTTTGGTTGGGGGTTATATGGGATTACTGGTTATGTCATCTTATATAACTTTATTACCATGTTTGGTTGTCAAGTAATATAAGATACCGATAATCTTCAAATAGTGGTTACTATTGGTAATATTGAAGGTAATCTGATTACCTCTATTTTCTTAGGTATTTTAAGATTACCAGGGTTATTTTTTTTTTTTTGTTACAATTTTATCACTTATTAATAAAAATTTTGGACAATGATGCCCCTATTTTAAAACAAATTTACATTGATATCGTATTTCAATTTTACCCTTGTTTAATTAAAATTTTGGACAATAATGCCCTTATATTTAAAACAATTTACAGACCACCACCACCACTGCCACCCAGCCACCATCATTGACAGCGGGCCAACCACCACAGACTGCCGCCGAAAAGTCGTCGGAGTCCCTAAAAAAGAACGAGATTTGGTGGGAGGCTTCGAGAGGCTTCGATATGGCCGAAAATGGCCAAAATAGAAATGGCCAGATCTATTCTGACCATTTCCGGCCAGATTGATGGAACTGGTCGTTAACAGCCAGATCCCGGGCCATTAACGGCCAGATCTGGTCGAGATCTGGCCTTTAACGACCACAGACAGGGCCGTTAACAGCCAGATCCATTGATCTGGCCTGATATGGCCGTTTTCGGCCATGAATGTGGCCAGAAACAGTCCTATCGGAGCCTCTTGGTCACGGTGAGCTATTCACGAGGACTTTCGGAGACTTCCAGCGATGGTTTGCTGTGGCGGCAGGAGGTAGCAGTGATTTAATCATAAATTAAAGTTTTATATAAGATGGGGTGTTTTAGCTAAATCTGAAATATTGGTATTCAAAAATTAATAATAAAAATAATATTATATTAATATTTAAAAAGGGGACAATTTAGTAATTTAAATAACATACCCACCAATTTATTCCACATAACCAAACATATTAACATACAATAATGCTAAATATACAAACAAATCTTACAAAGATTTGTGTACAAACTGATGTGGCAAAAAATGAATGGAAGAGTGAATATGATAAGTTTGACTTTTTGTACTCACTCTTCCATTCATTTCTGCCACATCAGTTTGTATATAAATCTTTGTAAGAGTTGTTTGTACATGTAGCATTACTCATTAATATAACATACCCACCAACTAACCAAACATATTTTCCTAAAGATTCCCAATAATCTTCAAGGTAATCTATTTTTCCAGTAATCCAATATTCCCAGAACCAAACTCCCCCTAAAGTTCATGTTCCTTTTTCTAATTAATTTGTTTAGTTTGCTTCATTAATTAATTTTCAAATATCCAAATTAATATAAGATTAACAAGATTGATTAAATATTGATAAGATGGTATGAAAAATATCTTATATTAAATTTTTTTAATGAAACGATATTTTATATATATATATATATATATATATATATATATATATATATATATATATATATAAGGGCCGGACCGGACCGGACCGGGCGAGGCAAGCTCCGTGTTATTTCCGCGTTGGAAAGCGCATAATTGTTGTTAAGTCAGTGGAAAGGAAAGAACCATGAAAGTTCGTCAATTGAAAAAAGCGTTCTTTGGAAAAATTACAGGTCTGGTTTACTTGTTATTTGACATCAATAGGAGGGCATTTGTGCCTAAATTTATTAAGTGAGGGTGAAATTGGAACAAAAATTTGGATTGTCGGCCTCTGCTTCTCTCTTTCTTTTTCTTCTTCTCCATTTCTTCTCCTTCACTGTTTTTCGCTTTCTTTTTCATCTTCTTCTCTTCCAGTTCTTCTCCTCCATCTTTCTCTTTCTTTTTCGTCTTCTTCTGTAAGTTTCAACAGTATTTTGAAATTTTGAAGTCGTAAGTATTTATGGATGGCTTGATTTGGCTTGTTTTGGGGCGGATTGGGGCTGATTTGCAAAACTGAAATAGGTTTTTCTTTGGGATGGTAGTGGTTCCAGCCAGGATCGCGGGAAGGAGTTGAAAATGATGGTTGTTGTGATGGTGGATGCGACGCTGCCAGCCCCGCTCACAGTGGGCAGCGACGGTCTGTTACTTTTTTAATTTTTGTTTTTTCCTTCCAAATTAGGATATGAAACTTTTGATTAGACGAAATCTTGATGTATTTTGATTGGGAGTTAGAATAAATTTGTGTTTCGTTGGTTTGTTAGATTGATAGTGGGTAAAAGTCACGCTTGGTTTTGTTTGTGATGGACATGTGAAAGTAGAAAAAAAATTAAAGTTTAGCGTCAGATCTTCTTCTGGTGTGAAACAGTGAAGTGCTGATGGCTTCTTCCCCATCTTCTGGATTTGACTTAGTGGAGAATTATGATGTTTTTATTAGTTTCCGTGGTGTGGACACTCGCCATAATTTTGTAAGTCATCTCTATTCAAATTTAAGCAGGAATAATATTAAAACTTTTACCGATGACCAACTTATCAGAGGACATGAGATTCAAACATCTCTATCTAGAGCTATTGAGCGATCGACGATTGCGGTTGTCGTTTTCTCCGAACATTATGGTTCTTCCAGAGTTTGCCTGAAAGAACTTGAAGAGATTTATATAAGAAGGAACATGCTCCTTCAGATTGTAGTACCAGTCTTCTATCATGTAGAACCGACGGAAGTGCGGAATCAATGTGGGCCTTTTGGGGAAGCATTTGCAGAGCTTGAAAATAGTTATACGGAGAGGGCAGACAGGTGGAAGACAGCTTTGAGAGGAGTAGCAAACCTATCTGGCTGGGTTTCATCTGCCATTAGGTAACTCTTTTTAACTCCATATAGTTAAATTCTATTATTTTATAATAGAGTTTTTAGCGAAGCACAAATACTAAATTTTAATGGTTTATTATTATTATTATTGAAAACAAGTTCTTGTAACGTATGTAACTAAATAATATCCTGAATGGGCAAAATTCCATTTTTATCGATCTAAATTTTCACTTTGTTAAGAGATAAATCACAAATAATTCTAGTGGTTTGGCCTTTTGAAACGGGAACCCTGGGGTTGTAAAACATGACGGACATTTGTATTGTAGATCAACAAAGTGATGGCAAATATTTTGCAGGAACGAAAAATCAGTTTTATCTAGTCAAAAGATAAAATAAACCATGTTTTTAATAAATAACAATGAAAAGAGGGAGAATTTTCTTCAAAATCAGATATTAACTAGATTCAAACTCATGTTATCTTTGTCTCTTTAAGATATCTTATGGTTGTTTATTTTACCCATCGTCAGGCATGAAGCAGTACTGGTACAACAGATTGTCAGCGACATTTTAGCAAAACTCAATCGTCTATCTCCTGTTGGAGAAACGAATCTGGGTGGTGTGAACAACCATATAGAAAACATTGAATCTCTCTTATCCATTGGATCGCAAGGCGTTTTCATGCTGGGAATTCTGGGTACTGTTGGTGTAGGGGTGTCTACCATTGCTAGTGCCATTTACGATAAAATCCATGGGCAGTTTGACAGGTATTGCTTCATTGGTAATGTTGGGAAACGAGCAGAGAGTATTAATGGACTAATTTCACTGCGCCAAGATATTCAGTCATCAATAACACTTGTGGACACAAACTCTCCGACTAATGAACTCCCCTCCACGATGAAAAAGTCTGGCAGAAAGAAGGTTCTCATCATTTTAGATAAAGTGACACGAAGTGAACAGATAGAATTTTCAATCAGAGATTTTCTTAGTTTTCTTGGTCAGGGAAGTCAAATTATTATAACAACTGGGGATGAACAAGTGCTGAAGGGATATAAAGTGGATAGAACATACGAGGTTGAGGGATTATTGCATGCTGAAGCTCTTGCGCTTTTTAATTTGTATGCCTTTGGAGATCATATTCCCGAGGAACGTTATTTGGAGCTGTCAGAAAAGATAATAGAATATGCTAAGGGTTCTCCACTTGTTCTTAAAATTTTGGGTTCCTTGCTATCTGGAAAGAGCCCACTATATTGGGAAAGGATATTGAGTAAACTAGGGACAATTCCTAGAATTGATCTTCAGGAAGTATTAAAAATCTGTTATGAGGAATTAGATGACGAAGAGAAAAAGATATTTTTAGATATTTCGTCCTTATTGAATGGAGGGGACATAAATTTCATAATAAGATCTCTGAAGGCTTGGAATAATTTCCCACCAGAGAGGGGAATCAATGCCCTCGTGAATAAACATTTTATAACTATTTTAAATGATAAGGTAGTGATGGATGATTCGTTACAAGATCTGGGTCGAGAAATTCGGCAGGAAAAAAATCGACGTAGCTGTTTGTGACATGTCTTGAATGAATTGTTGTGAGTATATTTTCTTGTCCTTGGTTCTCTTTTTTTTTTTTTTATTGTCTCTTTTTAAGGATGCTTACTTGGAATGCATGGCTTCTGCTGAAGACCTTTGCGTTCTCTATTTGGAAGTTTTTATATCGGCTGTCTTTACACATGAGAGGTTGTATTTTGTTTTAGTAGATTTGTTTAATCATCATGCTGGACCGTTTATTATTTTGCAAGCATAGTGATCTATTTATGTTGTTAATCAATAAGTAAAACATTGCAAATAAATGTGGGATGTAGTATAATTAATGTGTGGACGGTAGTAACTCAATTGTATTAGTTTGTCCATTTCCATTAACCATGCCTGCTTCTCTTCATTATGAGCACCAGTAGTGTTTGTTTGCCTTGGTTTCTTCTACATGGATTAACCTTTTCTACCATAGAGACACAGTCTCAGTTCATCATCGTATTGACAAGGTTAAAGCAAATTGTTATGTGCACATATTTGCTACACCAATGAAGATATATCCATTAATTGTTGACCAAAAGTACTGTAAAACAATGGTCTTAACTCTCATTTTTGTAAATTTAAGATTGTATTAAACCTAACATTATTGGTTTAGCGACGTAGAGAGTCTTGAATTTCACAAAGATGAGTTCATGTGTAGTGTTATTTTTGTGGCCGTTGTCCAGGGCGACTTTTCGAATTTGCTGGATTTTCATGATTCTTATTTTGGTGTCCCAGCTTCTGTGCTCTCTGCTGGGAACAGACTTGTGATGATTTCTTTTGGAGATTTTTTGGTGATGGTTTGGCGGTTGAGATTTTGGTGAAACAGTGCCGGAAGTATGTTGATAGGTCTTTGCTTGAGCTGCTGGGGTTTGTTTTTATGTTTTTGTGGGAGAAGAAGCTTTTGTTGGATGCTGCTGCAGTTTATGGATTTTGCAGGTGGCTTGTTGATACTGCTGCAGGAGGTTTTTTGTTTCTCTTCGGTTTGCAGGCCTTCTGGGTGTGGTGTGCTACAGTTGGGAAAGTGCTGTTTTTTTCTTTGGGATGGCTGCTCGAAGTTTTTTTGGTATGGTCTCAGCTTGTGTATAGTGCTAATTTTGTTTCTGCTGGATGTGCAGTTTTGTTTCTCCCTAGGGCTGTTATCGAGCCGAGCCGAGCCGAGTTTTTGGCTTAACGAGCTTGGCTCGTGAGAAGGGAGGAGAAATCGAGTTCGAGCCAAGTCGAGCCGAGCCTCTGATTTTCTGGCTCGGTTCGGCTCGTGAAGGAAGGAGGGGAATTCGAGCATGGTTCGCGAGCCAGCTTAACGAGCCGAGTTCGAGTCGGCTTGCGAGTCGATAAAAAACAATTTTAAAAAAAAAAAAATTAAGAGCAGATTTCAATATTTTTTAATTCAAAATACCCTTTGTTTGTTTGTATGCATGTAGTAAAAAACAAACAATGGTCAATAAGATACAGTTATATTATCCCATTTGGCTTGAAACTCACGCAGGCTCACATTCCAAATAACTTTTTCGTGCAAATTACTCATGCAGGCTGCAGCTTTACAAATGTGAAATGTCACTTCTTTTAAGCTAAAGTCTAAAACAGCCTTAACTCTTATCAGATCTGCGAGCAATATCGCACACATACCTTTACAAGCCAACACCTTTAGCAACCTTGACGATGGCAACGGCGGCAACGAGATGGGTTTGACAGTGACAAAACAAAAGGAAAACATGAAGCGTCCAGACGTGGGCGAGATTTGAAGAGATAGATACAACAAGTATGCGATAACACTGCGATAACACAACGATGAAGCATATGGGTTTGAGTCGTTTGACGACGATGAGGAAAGACATCGGAGTGGCTGAAAAGTTGGTTGAAATTCTTTACTCGTTTTGGTTTTACAGTAAACAGTGGTGGAGTCGCGTTTTTAGGGATTGCAAAATGGGGGGATCTTTGTCATTTTTGCAAACCTTTTTCTTTGAAAATTTTAGTTTAATCCTCCATACTGTAAAAAAACCCCTAATATCCCCCTACGAATTCGAGCCGAATGCGGCTCGCGAGCCTAATGAGCCGAGCCTAGTTAGGCTCGAACTCGGCTCGTTTCCTCTCACGAATCGAGCCGAGCCGGCTTGAATACAGTCGAGTCGAGTCGTTAACGAGCCAGACTCGCGAGCCGGCTCGATTCGTTAAACAGTCTTATTTCTCCCTCTCTTCTCCTTTCCTGTGTTGTTGCCTGTTAGTTTTGCTGCCCGTTCTATAGGGTCTGCTGTTGTTTTTACTTTTTTGTTTCCTTTGGATCTGTTGCCGTTGTTGCTGGGTTTTTCGGTCATGGGCTTTTTGCTCCCTTTCGCTCCTTTGTGTTTGTGCCTCTTTGGGTCCGTCCAAGGGATTTTTTGCTGAGGGTACTCCAGCCCTCTTTATTCTGCAATCCTTTGTTCTTTTATAATTACTGTTTTTTACCAAAAAAGAAAAAGATAAGTTCATTAAAGAAAATTTAGAATTGGAATTCATAAAGCAAAAGAGAATTCTGCATTCAGAAAAAGAGAATTTTGACTATTGATTGTTTATAGATTATAAATTAAGGATCAAAGACAAATAAGAGAAACGGCTTACACCTACCCAAGGTTTGGTGAAACGACAGATTGGTACTCAAAAGGTTTCAAAACGATAAACAGGTACCTTTCGTCATGTACTGGTAGTGATTTCCGTTTGCTAATGGTGAAAAGACTAGAATGCCTTTTAAAGTTTGATATTTTAGTTTTTTTTAAAATTTATTAAAAAAACTCCCTAGGTTTGCTAATTTAATTAAATACCCTAATATATAAAAATTTTATAAAATGACAAAAACACCCCCGCCACTCACAGTGCCAGATTCTGGCCACCACCATCGGAATCTGGTTGGAAAATTGCGTTACACCACATATTGGTCGGATCTGACGGATAGGGTGTTGATATGGCCTTTTCCGGCCAGATCCATCACGGATCTGGTTGGAAAAGGTCAGATCTATGGCCAGATCTAGTCGTCGACGGCCGCAACACTCCATCTTTGGCCGTCAACAACGACCAAAGATGTGGTCATCATTGTTTGTCAACGATGGCCAAGATTTGGCCGTCGTTGTCTATCAATGATGGCCAAGATTTGGCCGTCGTTGATAGTCAACGACGACTATTTCTTTGGCCATCACTTTCCGGCCAGATCTGGTCTTTTCACATCAAGTCTGGCCTTTTTCGACCAGATATGTGAATTACCGGCCATTTCCGGTGGTGGTGTAGACCGTTGTGACATATTATGGCGGCCACTGTTGGTGGCCTCCGGAATCTGGCAAGTATGGGTGAGTGGGGGTGTTTTTGTTAATTTTTAAACTTTTTTCTAGGGGTATTTGATGAAATTAATAAACTTAAGGGGTTTAAAAGTAATTAAAAAAATAGACTAATATTTCTCAAAAGGCATTCTAGTCTTTTCACCACTAGTAAACAGAAATCACTAACAGTACATGACAGAAGGTACCTATTTGTCTTTTTGAAACCTTTTGGGTACCAATCTGTCGTTTGGCCAAACCTTGGGTAGGTGTAAGTCGTTCGGCCTAAGATTGGAGCTGAATGTTGTTCTATATTATTAGCTTACAGTGGAGGTGAGCCATCATATATAATCCTTTAAAATATTTGAATCTTAAATAATACTGAGGGGGCGTTTGGTTCAGGAATGTTAGATTACTGGGAATGTTGGATTACTGGAAAGATAGCTTACCTTAGAAGATTACTGGGAATCTTTAAGAAAATATGTTTGGTTAGTTGGTGAGTATGTTATATTAATATGTTTGGTTATGGGGAATAAATTGGTGGGTATGTTATTTAAATTACTAAATTGTCCCCCTTTTAAATATTAATATAATATTATTTTTATTATTAATTTTTGAATAATTTTTTTAACCCCCAATATTTCAGATTTAGCTAAAACACCCCCTCTTATATAAAACTTTAATTTATGACGAAATCACCCCCACCTCCTGTCGCCACCGCGAACCCCCGCCAGAAAATCGCTGGAGTCCCTAAAAAAGAAGAAAATTCTGTGGGAGGCTCCAGGAGGCTTCGATATGGCCATATCAGGCCATATCAGGCCGTTAACAGCCATGTCCGTTGCCGTTAACTGCCAGATCTGGCCCGATATGGCCGTTTTCGGCCATCAATATGGTCGGAAACGGCCATATCGAAGCCTCTCGGAGCCTCCCACATAATTTCCTTCTTTTTTAGGGACTCCGGCAATTTTCAGGCGGTGGTCCATGGTGGTTGGCCAGCTATCGACGGTGGTGGCTGGGTGGCAGTGGTGGTGGTGGCTGGGTGGTAGTGGTGGTCTGTAAATAATTTTAAATAGAAGGGCATTATTGTCCAAAATTTTAATTAAATAAGGGTAAAATTGAAATAGGATATTAATATAAATTTGTTTTAAAGTAGGGGTATTATTGTCTAAAATTTTTATTAATAAGGGATAAAATTATAAAAAAAAAAAAGATAACCCTGGTAATCTCAGAATACCTAAGAAAATGGAGGTAATCAGATTACCTCTGATATTACCAATAATAACAACTATTGGTATTTGAAGATTACCAGTATCTTATATTACTTGACAACCAAACATGATAATCAAGTAATATAAGATAACATTACCACAAGTAATCCCACTTTAACCCCCAAGCAAACGCCCCTGAAGACTAAAGACTGAAGTGCTCGGCCTCTGTTAAGCGAAACTTTTATATTTGATTGATTGATTAGTAATAAAAACTTAATATCGTCTTCAGTTTCTGCAGTGTCTAATGTTGCAGACAAATGATACGGGAGTAGTAGTCCATGATGCCAAGCAGAATGCAACTCTGCAAACGTACAATTAAAGAATGAAAATATATTTTTGACAATATATTATAAACCATCTAAATTTCTAAAATTTCCCAACTCCAAAGACAATGAGGAAAACCCCCCATCTGGTTTATATTACCAAAACTGAGCTATCCCTGAAAAACGTGACACATTTATATTGTAGATCAACAATTCAACATTGATATATTCCATCAAAATGCTTAATACAAATAAAAAATGAAAGAAATTATATACATATGGACTTCTAAGTTGAGTGAATCCTTGCATTAGTGATAGTGACCTACCCTCCTTCTAAAGGCTTTATTAATTATTTGATGGTGGCATAGTTGCATTCTTAAAGGTGGGCGGCTCATGGCAATTGTGTTCACACGCACAAGACTTGAAGCAACAATACATAATTAATTGCTATGTCCATTTCATTTATTTCTAATATTTATATTTTTAAGTGCTGACTTGATACCAATTATAATCGGCCATGTGAAAAATAAATAATTTAGTGAATTAAAAATGTCAATAATTTATAATTTTCTTATATTAATTATCGTCAATTGTTAATTGTAATGCTGATAAATAAGCTATCAAATTATTTTGAACTTTTTATTGTTAAAGAATTTTAAAAATAAAATGGATTTGAGGTTTTTTTGTTTACAATTTTGTTCTTGTAGAACGTAGAATACTGCTGTTAGCAACAGTGAAATATCTCCCTAAAACTCTCTAATAGGAAACTGTATAAATGTAGGAGTAAAAATAAGTGTTGTGTTGGAGAAAATATACAACTTTTCACATTTTTTCTTGTAGAATGAAAATATTATCAAGGCAAAAGCTGAATGAAAATCATTTTGAAATTCGGCCACTAAAAAGTCATTCTAAAATACTTCCATTCCACTCATTTGTTGCTATCAAACAACTATTTGGGAATGGAGAGTTTCATAAGTGTATTCCAATTACACATGATTATTCAATTTTAGGCTTTAAGGGTATTATTGTCTTTTGATACCTATTTTGTTAAGTGTAGGTAATAAAATCATAATTTCAAACAAATGTCTAGGGTTAAAACTATATTCGCACGTGGGAGTTAGGGGATTTATATTTTGATGACCGGGGGTGTTCAAGACTTACGTACACCTTGATTAATCCCTCGAGACCCTGGAACTACCGGTTTGGACAAAAACTCTAGTAATTATCCCTATTAGCAATTAATGAGGAATTCGAACTTGAACTCAAAACCTTTTGAGTAATGTACCAAAGAGTCTCTATCGAACCACTCAACCACCAAAAGATAGTTCATGCATGCAGAGGATTTAACATTGGTCATTACATTAGACCACAATATTAGATTATATTGTTTAATTCTTTTAACATGTGTTTGATTCTCAGTTAATCCAGTTCTTTAAAGCATATTTTGACTGTTAATCAACATATTTCCAATGACTTCAGCAACTTAAGGGATAGATTAAGATAATGATGATCAACAACAGATGAAGATTGAAGTCAATTTCTTAAATCAAACTTTATGATAACGTAAAAAAACATATAAGAAAAGATAAAATTTTGGACGGTCCAGGAAAAATAATTGAGTGAAAGTGAGAGGTGAACAGTTGGTATATGAAACCAAGAAGATGAAAAATCAAAAGCCAATCCATTTCTTCGTCTTCTTTTTCAATCTACCCCTTGCCGACAAATACTACTGGATTTCATGACGGACCAATCCTTTCACTGTTCATGAAAACGATCAAAACAAAACGACACCATATCATGTATGTATGGGGGTTATCGTAGTAGTAATTACGTGTGAATATAAGCTCTCAAATGAATTGAAAGCTATAATGATCTGAAAAGTCTTGTCGAATGTTGACGTTAATGGGATTACGTGGAGAAAACCACTGGTGTTTGATTTAAGACGTGAACCCTCCTTTTAACTTTTTGTCTACTTGTCCCTCAGTACGCGGCTTCTTCTTCGTCACACTCGAAACTAAAATTCAAAAGTATGAATGATCTGAAGGTTAGGTTAGGCTTTGATCAGATCAGCCATGGCAGGACTTGGAGTGGAATGGAGACCCCATGTAGACAATAATTAATGCCTTTTTGAATCCCAGATAAAGCCTTTGTCCTTCAAAATTATCATTTAAATTAAAATTAATTTATTTATTAAATGCATGCATGTCTAAATCCACATCCATATTATATTTGCCAACGCACCAACATTTGTGGTGTTAATTTATATAATGAAGCACCCGTGAGGATTAGGATGGTGTTGAACTTTCTGGTTTAATGTGTCAAATCAGTGTTCTCATAATCAACTCTACCTGTTTGACATTATCAAATAAGGGATTTGACATATATGGTAAATATATTTTTTTCGTGTTTAAGTCAGTTTATGTACACCTCAAAACTATTAGTTAAATGAGAGCTTTATTGATCACTCCTATTAACAATAGATAAATGACTCAAGCTCAAGATCTCTTAAGAAATACACTTAAAAGTTTCTATCAAACCACTCGATTAGTTCATAAATGGTATTTTCTCAACCCAAATTTAGTTAAAAAAAAAAAAATAAGTAATATATATCAATTAATGACTTACCAAAATTGTATTGTTCAGTCCTACAAGCAAACCAAATCAAACCGCTACTTGACTAAGCTTCATTCACTCTACAAGTGTACAACTTTGGAATGAATAATTTCCTAAAGAAAAACATTCACTCTACAAGAGTACGACTTTTGACCTCAAAGCTCTTGTTTAATTAGGCAAACATGAGTTGGTTAATAGCTGGAAAGCAAAGTTTAATATTATAATCAAGCGTTAACTCATTAATAGAAGGCGAAATAAATAGAAAACATTCATATTGTGGTATTCACTTAATATTTTTAGCTTCTTTTTTTTTTTTTGTCGGGATGTCTTTTTTTTCTTTTTTGTGTGACCGAGGATATTTGAGTCAACTTGTGTATAACTTAATTAATTTTTGGAGGCCCTAACATTAACAACCAAGTAAACTATCCAATGGCCACCCCTGAAGGGAATTAAACTTAATACCTCTTCAATAATACATCAAAGAACCCTTATCTACATCTTGATTAATCCTCTAAAGTCCTGAAGTTAACAACCGAGTAAACCATCTAATGGCCACCCTCGAGAAGAATTAAATTCAATACCTCTTGAATATCCAAAGTCTTTATCGTCCCACCTGACCACCCAATAGTTGTTTATATTCTCTTAGACTCAAACACTATAGTATATTTTGTCATAATTTCTACATGAAAATCTCCAAGTAATAATTAATCCTTTCTCAAATGTTAGCTAATAGCTTCCTAATTAAGAAAATAAAATCAAGAAAAATAATGTCAATTTAACAATCATGTAGCTATTTCCATATACTAATTTATCAATGATATATAAAAATAAAATAAAATAAAAATAATTTCTCCAATGACAAACATCAAACAATAAAGACAAAATAATCAACAAAGCAATTAACTCTACTAAAAATCCCAGATATTCCAACTGCCCACAAAATAATTAAATATCTCTAACCCAAAACGACAATACTCACTACAACAGAAACTCCCACAGACACTATCAAACTCCAAGGCGTTACAACAACTGCATTCGCCTTTGATTTTGTCGATGTCGGTGGTGACGTAATATCCGCTGGAGTCCCTGAAGGTGACGGCGCCCCGGGCGGCGTCCCCGACGGTGAACCCGAGCTACCTGGCGGAGAAGTCCCACCCGAAGGAGAGATTCCTGACGTGGATGGTCCGGGTGCAGAAGGAGGTATTGTAGACGTGGATGGTCCGTGTGCAGAAGGAGGTATTGTCGAAGTGGATGGTCCGGGTGCAGAAGGCGATATCGTCGAAGTGGACGGTCCAGGTGCAGAAGGCGATATCGTCGAAGTGGACGGTCCAGGTGCCAGCACTGGACCCCCAGCCTTTGGAGACAGTGATGGAGTCACAGCAGGTGACTTACCACTATATGGTGACGGAGATGTAGCTACAGGTGACGTTGCCGGTGCCGGAGATGATGATTTAGGAGACGAAGCCCCGGGTGATTGTGAAGGAGACACATGAGGGGACCCGGAGGGAACTGGAGAGTGAGGTTTAGGGGACAACCCTGGAGCTGGAGAAACTTTTGGTGAGTGCGATGGTGCAACAGGTGGGTGTGATGAAGGTGACGGTGGCAATTGCGGCGGAGCATGGGTGGGAGGCGGGGTAACCGGTGGTGTTTTCGGTGGTTTTAATGGAGTTTTTAGGTGCAGAACACTCACAATTAATTTTTGTCCCTTTTGACAACGGTCAGGAACTCCACTGATGAAATAGAAGGGCCCTGAACGATCAAGCATGAACTCCGATTCACCACTCTCCATTTTCTTCAATGGCTGTTTCGTATTACAGTTAAAGTAATCATCTTTCTTCACCAGCAACACCGAGTCTTCTCCCTTCTTGTATTTAAAATCTTAAAGAAAAAAGAAACCAAATTATTCAATCAATTAAATGATAAATTTGATAAAAATGAAGATGATCAAACAAATAAATGAGACTTACAGAGCGTGTCATTGACTTTGAACCGGTTTCTCTCAGCCCAGTGATTGTAGCTCTCATGAGGGGATTCAACCCAACCTTCTTTTCCACCAACGTAGAACTTCAAAGCGTGAGATGAATAAACAAAACAAGAAAAGAAAACCAAGAAAAGAGAAAGAGCTCTGTGAAACTCCATTGATGATGATAAAGAGAGAGGGAGCAATACAAAAATGAGGTAAAAGACTCCGAATTTATAGTGTTGAAAGCGATTGGAACCAGAAGCTTCACAGAAAATCTGCCAAGAGGGAAAAAACTTTTTAGGGAAGTTAAAGAATGAGGGAGATTTGGAAACTGAAGGTGGTCAAGTGTGGAATTATCAAGATAGATTAGAGGTTACCGTTGAATAGTGAATTATAGTGAAGCAATGAATATAGTAACAGTAGTAGTAAAGCGTGTGAAGTAATTGGTGTGGTACGTGTGGATACATTGATTGATAGAGACACGTGGCTAAATCATAGAATGTGAACGTTGATAAAGTATTTAATGCATTGGCAAATGTTGGGTAGGTTGGAGCGTTTGATGGATCCATGATTGTAATGTATATTATGTGTGCAATGGAAAACACATGCTAATGTTAAGATGATGATTTGATTGATTGATTATTTATTATTGCACAATTTTCAAACAAATTATTGGTAGTTCTGTCTTTTGTTTTTTCAGTTCTAATTTCCCAAAATCAAACAAAATGATGTTGAGTTCGGCACCAACCAAATTTTTTAAATGCACAATAAATCATAAGTATAATTACATTTTTAAAACTTTATTTATTTAAAACACGAAGATAAATTCATTTTAAACTAACCGACACAGTCAAGAGAAAGAAAATTAAAACTCCATCGAATAATGTTATGCCCAAGAACCAACACTAGTGTAAGCATGCATCAACAAGAACTAATAAGAATTTAAGAAGGTTTTCTGACGTCAGGATATAGTCATGTCCCGCAAGGACCAGATAGGTAAAGTCATCGTCAATAAGATAGGTGAACGTCAGGCTTATGAGTGGTTAGAACTTGTCCACCTGTTAAAGCTATGTACGATTTAAGGATACCTCTCGTACAGACAATCAATAGAAAGTGGGTTAGGGATTGTACCACACATGTCCACACGAAGAATCATGATTGTCATCTTGGATCCTCCCACTATAAATAGAGGGTTTTCCTCCATTTTATAGGATTGACTCATTCACCATCTAAAACTCTCTCTCTCTCTCTCTCGCTATACCAATTCATTCTCTTTATTGTAACTCAGCTCGTCAAGTACGACTTGACTGTAACCGCCTATTAATATAATCACAGTAGATGTAAGATTCGCTTTTGAGCATTCGAACCATTACAAAAACTCTTTTTACCAATCTTTTATTTATGTTTCAGTATCACATTCAAACCTCTTGAATTTATCACATGTAATTTCTAAGTCCGCTTAGCACTTTGCACGTGTGAATAGTTGGTGCCAAAATCAAGCATGAACAAAAAAAATCTTAATTGTGTCTATAATATGTATTTATTTTGAATTTTGTGATGATAAAAGAATAAATTGAGGTTTCATAAGTTTTTAAATTTGAGTCTTCGAACACTAATAGAAATAACTATAGGAGTTTTTATCTGATCGATAGTTTCAAAACCCCAGAAAATTAATTAAAGTATATACTAACTGACCTAAACACCTCCGTTTATCATAAAAAAGAAAAATATTATGATAATGCTCAAACTTTCTCCATATTCTCATTGATTGAGTAGGAACATTTTAAAACTGAAATTTCCCTTTCATGTCAACCCATTTCAGTTTGTTCTTGGATTTACTTGAATCATCTGAACTCTTGCCTCCTCGTAATTAGTCTTATGTCCATTTCTGGTTTTTAAGAATTTGTTCTAGTTCCTTATAAAAAAGGGTTTTGAATAAGTCTGATCTTGGATCAAATTCTACTCAACAGCCTAGAGCAAGCCAACCGCGGAATCTTAAATCTTATCTGGACTTGGAACTTGACGAAAATCCGTAGTTGGATTGTTCATAGTCAATGATTAAGTCTCCATAGACCATAGCCATACATGTGTCATAACTTGATTACTGGGCAGTAAATACCTGATTGACAATACAATCACCATTCACCAGTACTCTTTTCGGTTTCTGTTATGGATCAAGGTTGAGGTAGGACAAAATTTTGTGGCTCTCCCTTGTTTAACATGTTCACCATAAATGCTTTTTACTCTATGGTGTTGGATGCCCCATCTTTTACCAGAGACAAATTTTGGTAGTACGTTTCTGCAATTATAATTTCTAACGTACTCAGTTTTTGCGAGGGAAGTTATGCTGAAATCAAGTAGTCACCTGCTACAGCATTCAGTGAATTTAATTTAATATGAGGGAAAAAGTTGAAGCCATTAAAACAATCTTCAATCTGAGTAAATGAATGAAAAAAAAAAACATCTATATTTGCGTTTCCAGTTACATTTGTTGTTAGTACTAACAAATTTATGTTGTGGTTGTGAGTGGGAAATGGTGTCAAGGGGGAAAAGGTAGAGATAGCCCCAGTAGGTAAACTATTCTAAATTGCTACTGAAATACATTTTGAATGATGCCACAAGAAATCCCCACCCAGTTCCATTGAAAGAAATTATCTGGTTCCCTCGAGAGAATGTGTAATGTAACATAAATTCATATGATATCTATTCAAAAGTCATATTTTGTTCTTCCACTTGCCAGGACGAGACACAACATATCTGAAATGTCAGAAGATGAGCTTAAGAAGTTCCAAGACTCGAGCATTAGGCGTTTCCTTGAACCCTTAAAATGAACAACCTGAATGATAATAAATCGATGCTTTAGATAACATTAGCATTCGTATATTTCTGAGCAAAACCAGAGACTTTTCCTTCGGTGGTTATTGATCAAGATTATTATGAGAAATTGAATTTAGATATTAAAGCATACCTTAACATCCAAGGGCATGCCGTGAAATTGGCCTGCACCCTCAGGTGGAGTCCAATTGAATGTAGCACAAGGTAAAAATAGAACTGAAGCACCGCCGATTTCCTCAACAAAGGCCTGTGCTTTGGTGAATCTCCTTGTATCAAAAGAAGGGTGAGACTTTACAACCCAAGCAAGAGCTAACTGATCACCAAGCATTCTGGAAGCATTCATGTATTTGGAACTGTATATGCTTAATATTTCCTGAAGAAATACCTTTGCCCTGCAATCAAATTAACATTCTCATTTTCTTCTGTGATAAATTTCCATATGCATATTAGCATTGCTTATTTGTACTGAAATCACCAGCACAACCTGGTTACCCTAAAAGGTGTATAAGATTTAAATTTGACTTTGGCAACTCAAACAGAAACATTCTGCTCTTCCGTTCAATCATCTCATTTTTCCAGAGAGAAAAATAAATGCAATAAAAGAACAAATTCTGCACCTTAAAATCCCATCAGGGGTGCCTCTGACAGCTATAAATCCAGAATTCAGAGGTTGATCCTTGTGATTCCTGAAAGTTAGTGCCAGATGAAAGTTTTGGTGGTTTTGAAATATATGACCCAAGTCATCAACCACAGCTATATCTGAGTCAGTGAAGATGTAATGATTTATAAGCCTCTGCCCCTGAGAATGCTCCTGAAGCTTTCTTTCAAGAAATGTCTGCATAAAAAGAATAACATTTGAACAAGAAAAATTAAACCAGGACCATCCATAGCATAATAAATTAAAGATAAAGGTCTTGACTTCTAGTGTTAGCATTGAGAATTTTAATAAAGTATTTCTTCAATTAATGTCCAGATATCAATAACAAATTAATAATCTCTTGTGCCAAAGGCAGTGAGGGGATAGGATTTGGTCTCCAAGAAGAATGAGAAAGTAAGGTAACTGTACTGACAATTTGTCTGTGTGCAGTTTACAGGTGGGTGCAAAACAAACTGAAATAAAGTCATAAACATTTGCAAGGGAAAACAAAAAGAATTAAAATAAAAAACAACAATGACATTTTGAGAATATGTTACAACCAAACATCTGGAGAGGGACAAAGTGCAAGTATATAGTTAAGTTTCAGAAGCAATTTCTTATGCTCAAAATTATCAGTGAAAAACAAAAATATTCTACCTATATATCAGCGATTTGCTCTTACAATGTAAGACCTGATTCTTTGAAGCATCAACTTGTCTCGAGAATATTCACCCTCTATTGGATATATGGTGATCCCTTTTCTGTGCACTGAGAGATCTGAAGCAGGATCAGTTAGAATGATTACATCACTTGGGGCCATTGTCACCTGTAATCAATTGAAATTTTAAATAACTCCACAATTTGTAAAATTGGAAAGCTATGAACCTCAAATCAAGTTTTTGAGGGATTTGCCAAATACTTACTTGAATGAAGTTAATGAACACATCCAATATGGCCATTGACCTTTCTGTCTTACTATAAGAAGCATTTCCAATGGTAACCAAGTTTGATGCTCTACCATCCACATTAGTTTCAAGTGAGGTGTTATAAATTGTGAAAACAGTGACAAAAGAAATTCTATCTTCAACACTGGAGACATGAGAAGGGGCTGAAAAATGGGTCTTGTTGAGAGCTTTGATGCCTGAGAAATTCAGTAAACAGGGAATGCACAATCAAAGTCAAGACAACAGTAGAGGAAACTTGGATGCAGAAGTAAAGAGTATGTTTCCAAAGAGTATGTTCATATCACCACAGGAGTTGTGGCACTACAACCCAGGTTATGAAATTTATATATATTTCATAGGTACATACTGCGGCTCACAAAATCTTATTACTCATGAGTCCATACAGAATAAAGTATAGCTATAATAGACGGATAAGTATTGTATAATAGGAAAGTCACTGTCCCCATTGAGATGTCACACTATTCAACAGCGTATTTAACTATAACAATATTCAGTGTTATAGCAGCCATAGAGTCATGGCCAGCATATTAATTTTATACACAACATGATCCAACTCATAATCTGAGCATTAGGTTGTATGTTAAATAGGAAAAGCTCGAGTACTGCGTCGGCAATTTTAATTTGAAGAAAACACGAAGAAATAATAAAACCAAATAACTACAAGTTATTAGTGTCCAAAACAATCATTCCAAACTCAAAGTGAAGCAGATAAGGAGACAGAGTAAAAATGAAATAAGGGAAATCTGCTTTATCCATATTCAATAATTGAAATTGCAAGTCCAAAATCTTAAAAATCCTTTGTTGGATTGTTCATACTCAATGATTAAGTCTCCATAGACCATAGCCATACATGTGTCATAACTTGATTACTGGGCAGTAAATGCCTGATTGACAATACAATCACCAGTACTCTTTCAAGTTTCCGTTATGGATCAAGATTGAGGTAAGACAACATTTTGTGGCTCTCTCTTGTTTAACATGTTCACCATAAATGCTTTGTACTCTATGGTGCTGGGTAGCCTATCTTTTACCAGAGACAAATTTTGGTAGTACGTTTCTGCAATTATAATTTCTAACGTAGTCAGTTGTAGCAAGGGAAGTTATGCTGAAATCAAGTTGTCACCTGCTACAGCATTCAGTGAATTTAATTTAATATGAGGCAAAAAGTTGAAGCCATTAAAACAATCTTCAATCTGAGTAAATGAATGAAAAAAAACATCAATATTTGCGTTTCCAGTTACATTTGTTGTTAGTACTAACAAATTTATGTTGTGGTTGTGGGTGGGAAATGGTGTCAAGGGGGAAAAGGAAGAGATAGCCCCGATAGGTAAACTATTCTAAATTGCTACTGAAATACATTTTGAATGATGCCACAAGAAATCCCCCCCCAGTTCCATTGAATGAAATTATCTGTTTCCCTCGAGAGAATGTGTAATGTAACATAAATTCATATGATATCTATTCAAAAGTCATATTTTGTTCTTCCACTTGCCAGGATGAGACACAACATATCTGAAATGTCAGAAGATGAGCTTAAGAAGTTCCAAGACTCGAGCATTAGGCGTTTCCTTGAACCCTTAAAATGAACAACCTGAATGATAATAAATCGATGCTTTAGATAACATTAGCATTCGTATATTTCTGAGCAAAACCAGAGACTTTTCCTTCGGTGGTTATTGATCAAGATTATTATGAGAAATTGAATTTAGATATTAAAGCATACCTTAACATCCAAGGGCATGCCGTGAAATTGGCCTGCACCCTCAGGTGGAGTCCAATTGAATGTAGCACAAGGTAAAAATAGAACTGAAGCACCGCCGATTTCCTCAACAAAGGCCTGTGCTTTGGTGAATCTCCTTGTATCAAAAGAAGGGTGAGACTTTACAACCCAAGCAAGAGCTAACTGATCACCAAGCATTCTGGAAGCATTCATGTATTTGGAACTGTATATGCTTAATATTTCCTGAAGAAATACCTTTGCCCTGCAATCAAATTAACATTCTCATTTTCTTCTGTGATAAATTTCCATATGCATATTAGCATTGCTTATTTGTACTGAAATCACCAGCACAACCTGGTTACCCTAAAAGGTGTATAAGATTTAAATTTGACTTTGGCAACTCAAACAGAAACATTCTGCTCTTCCGTTCAATCATCTCATTTTTCCAGAGAGAAAAATAAATGCAATAAAAGAACAAATTCTGCACCTTAAAATCCCATCAGGGGTGCCTCTGACAGCTATAAATCCAGAATTCAGAGGTTGATCCTTGTGATTCCTGAAAGTTAGTGCCAGATGAAAGTTTTGGTGGTTTTGAAATATATGACCCAAGTCATCAACCACAGCTATATCTGAGTCAGTGAAGATGTAATGATTTATAAGCCTCTGCCCCTGAGAATGCTCCTGAAGCTTTCTTTCAAGAAATGTCTGCATAAAAAGAATAACATTTGAACAAGAAAAATTAAACCAGGACCATCCATAGCATAATAAATTAAAGATAAAGGTCTTGACTTCTAGTGTTAGCATTGAGAATTTTAATAAAGTATTTCTTCAATTAATGTCCAGATATCAATAACAAATTAATAATCTCTTGTGCCAAAGGCAGTGAGGGGATAGGATTTGGTCTCCAAGAAGAATGAGAAAGTAAGGTAACTGTACTGACAATTTGTCTGTGTGCAGTTTACAGGTGGGTGCAAAACAAACTGAAATAAAGTCATAAACATTTGCAAGGGAAAACAAAAAGAATTAAAATAAAAAACAACAATGACATTTTGAGAATATGTTACAACCAAACATCTGGAGAGGGACAAAGTGCAAGTATATAGTTAAGTTTCAGAAGCAATTTCTTATGCTCAAAATTATCAGTGAAAAACAAAAATATTCTACCTATATATCAGCGATTTGCTCTTACAATGTAAGACCTGATTCTTTGAAGCATCAACTTGTCTCGAGAATATTCACCCTCTATTGGATATATGGTGATCCCTTTTCTGTGCACTGAGAGATCTGAAGCAGGATCAGTTAGAATGATTACATCACTTGGGGGCATTGTCACCTGTAATCAATTGAAATTTTAAATAACTCCACAATTTGTAAAATTGGAAAGCTATGAACCTCAAATCAAGTTTTTGAGGGATTTGCCAAATACTTACTTGAATGAAGTTAATAAACACATCCAATATGGCCATTGACCTTTCTGTCTTACTATAAGAAGCATTTCCAATGGTAACCAAGTTTGATGCTCTACCATCCACATTAGTTTCAAGTGAGGTGTTATAAATTGTGAAAACAGTGACAAAAGAAATTCTATCTTCAACACTGGAGACATGAGAAGGGGCTGAAAAATGGGTCTTGTTGAGAGCTTTGATGCCTGAGAAATTCAGTAAACAGGGAATGCACAATCAAAGTCAAGACAACAGTAGAGGAAACTTGGATGCAGAAGTAAAGAGTGTGTTTCCAAAGACTATGTTCATATAACCACAGGAGTTGTGCCACTACAACCCAGGTTATGAAATTTATATATATTTCATAGGTACATACTGCGGCTCACAAAATCTTATTACTCATGAGTCCATACAGAATAAAGTATAGCTATAATAGACGGAGAAGTATTGTATAATAGGAAAGTCACTGTCCCCATTGAGATGTCACACTATTCAACAGCGTATTTAACTATAACAATATTCAGTGTTATAGCAGCCATAGAGTCATGGCCAGCATATTAATTTTATACACAACATGATCCAACTCATAATCTGAGCATTAGGTTGTATGTTAAATAGGAAAAGCTCGAGTACTGCATCGGCAATTTTAATTTGAAGAAAACACGAAGAAATAATAAAACCAAATAACTACAAGTTATTAGTGTCCAAAACAATCATTCCAAACTCAAAGTGAAGCAGATAAGGAGACAGAGTAAAAATGAAATAAGGGAAATCTGCTTTATCCATATTCAATAATTGAAATTGCAAGTCCAAAATCTTAAAAATCCTTTGTTGGATTGTTCATACTCAATGATTAAGTCTCCATAGACCATAGCCATACATGTGTCATAACTTGATTACTGGGCAGTAAATGCCTGATTGACAATACAATCACCAGTACTCTTTCAAGTTTCCGTTATGGATCAAGATTGAGGTAAGACAACATTTTGTGGCTCTCTCTTGTTTAACATGTTCACCATAAATGCTTTGTACTCTATGGTGCTGGGTAGCCTATCTTTTACCAGAGACAAATTTTGGTAGTACGTTTCTGCAATTATAATTTCTAACGTAGTCAGTTGTAGCAAGGGAAGTTATGCTGAAATCAAGTTGTCACCTGCTACAGCATTCAGTGAATTTAATTTAATATGAGGCAAAAAGTTGAAGCCATTAAAACAATCTTCAATCTGAGTAAATGAATGAAAAAAAACATCAATATTTGCGTTTCCAGTTACATTTGTTGTTAGTACTAACAAATTTATGTTGTGGTTGTGGGTGGGAAATGGTGTCAAGGGGGAAAAGGAAGAGATAGCCCCGATAGGTAAACTATTCTAAATTGCTACTGAAATACATTTTGAATGATGCCACAAGAAATCCCCCCCCAGTTCCATTGAATGAAATTATCTGTTTCCCTCGAGAGAATGTGTAATGTAACATAAATTCATATGATATCTATTCAAAAGTCATATTTTGTTCTTCCACTTGCCAGGATGAGACACAACATATCTGAAATGTCAGAAGATGAGCTTAAGAAGTTCCAAGACTCGAGCATTAGGCGTTTCCTTGAACCCTTAAAATGAACAACCTGAATGATAATAAATCGATGCTTTAGATAACATTAGCATTCGTATATTTCTGAGCAAAACCAGAGACTTTTCCTTCGGTGGTTATTGATCAAGATTATTATGAGAAATTGAATTTAGATATTAAAGCATACCTTAACATCCAAGGGCATGCCGTGAAATTGGCCTGCACCCTCAGGTGGAGTCCAATTGAATGTAGCACAAGGTAAAAATAGAACTGAAGCACCGCCGATTTCCTCAACAAAGGCCTGTGCTTTGGTGAATCTCCTTGTATCAAAAGAAGGGTGAGACTTCACAACCCAAGCAAGAGCTAACTGATCACCAAGCATTCTGGAAGCATTCATGTATTTGGAACTGTATATGCTTAATATTTCCTGAAGAAATACCTTTGCCCTGCAATCAAATTAACATTCTCATTTTCTTCTGTGATAAATTTCCATATGCATATTAGCATTGCTTATTTGTACTGAAATCACCAGCACAACCTGGTTACCCTAAAAGGTGTATAAGATTTAAATTTGACTTTGGCAACTCAAACAGAAACATTCTGCTCTTCCGTTCAATCATCTCATTTTTCCAGAGAGAAAAATAAATGCAATAAAAGAACAAATTCTGCACCTTAAAATCCCATCAGGGGTGCCTCTGACAGCTATAAATCCAGAATTCAGAGGTTGATCCTTGTGATTCCTGAAAGTTAGTGCCAGATGAAAGTTTTGGTGGTTTTGAAATATATGACCCAAGTCATCAACCACAGCTATATCTGAGTCAGTGAAGATGTAATGATTTATAAGCCTCTGCCCCTGAGAATGCTCCTGAAGCTTTCTTTC